CCCACGCAAAGATCAGCCTCGAGCTTCCACCAGGAAGCAGAAAGGTGGGAGCTCTGGTTTTGCCCACTCTGGTTCATGGCACCTCCTGGGAGGAGATTTTCTGCTGCTTCTCCAAGATGCATTACTTCTCCTCCCAGGCTGCAAGCCAAGCGAGCTCTCTGGAGCTGAGCATGGTGTGGAGGGGGCAGAATCAAACACAGCACAGAGTACAGAAAAGGAGATAAATGTACCACAGGATAAAACCACCACAGGACAGACAGTGCTGCTCGAGTGGGGACACCAGCAGGTGTAGACCAATTCTTGCCACAGCTGGAATACCAGTTCAGCAGCAGACACGTAACTGGTTCGGAGCCTGCCTGGAAAGCTCCTGCCCAAAGTGGTTTTCTGCCTTGTTTAATAAATGGTTTCAGAGTCATTAAAGGGGAAAAAAAGAAACAAATAAAAAGGTGCTGCCTCTCCCCAGCACACCCTCATTCCCCTGTGGACAGTGGTTTATGCCTGAGCAATGCAACTGTCCTTTAATAGTGGAAAAAGTGTCAGGGATTTCCTTCAGACTAGTCAATTCCAGCAAACTGGAAACTGACAAAACCCTTTCATCTTCCTGCCAGTGCCTTCCCCTGCCTCAGATCTCAAAGCACCTCAAGCAGGGATCCAACACACACTACAAGTAGCCATAAACAAGTACTCCTCCATTTGCTGTAGGTAACAAACACTTCCCATCCTACCACTCTGAGCAAGACAGGGAGCATCTGTGCATGGTCTGAGTAGCAGAGGAAGTCGCCTCATTCCCACCTCAGGCACTGGCCCAGTCCTGCAAATGGAGCTCTCAAGCAGATCCTGACACCTCTCCTGCTCGTGCACTCAGGTATCTAAGCTTGACTTCAATTCTGAGTGGAGGAAGTGGAGAAATAACCCTTCAAGGTATTGGCTTGTTAGTCCGATGTCAGCTCAGCTTCCACTTGTTTTCTGTTCCACTTTGATTATGGGCCTGGCCTTTCTTCCCATCCCTTTGTTTCCAGCCCTTCAGCCATCAATCCTTTCTTGAAATCTTACTCATCTCCTTTAGGGTGAGAACAGCCCTTTACCTCCAGCCATTATGTAGGAGTTTTTCTGATACCAGTTTCAAAACAAGGGTAATTACCTTCAGAGCTGACAGAATTTCATCTAGAAGAAGGAAGTAAGTAGAAGCACCAAAAAACAATGAGCAAGTCAGCTCAAGTCATCACCAGGATGTAAACTGACACAGCAGCAGCAGTGCCCTAGGCGAGGGGCCAGACCTGTTACTCTGCTAGAACACCACTCACAGGAAGAGCATCTGGAACAAATACATTTACTCAAGGAAAGCTGGGATTTTAGGACATCCTGCTCTGCTCCAAGTGATCTTTGTCCAGACCATCGCTATTGGAAGCACTGGGCACAAGAGCTCTGACAGTGCAGTGCTCAGCCTCCTGCTCCAAGAGGACATTTCAGATTCCAGGCTGAAGAAAGCTCTTCTGTACAAGAACACGTTAATACCTGAAGCTGACACTTCTGTTTTGCATCTTACTTTGTGTGTACTCTTACCACTGGGCATTATGCTGCTCTGACATGATGCTCAGCACACTCTAACCTCTCCTTTGTCCACCAGTGCTGCAGTTTTGCTGGCAGTGACTCAACATCCTGCCAGCTGCCTTACTGAGAGCATACAAACAGCGAGGGCTCCTCTCCCTGTACAGACAGTCCTGCTCCTGCCCAAGAGCGCTTCCTCCTGCCTGTGCACCACGGCTCGGGAAGCCAGCGAGACCCAGGGTGACAGATCACCCCGAGATCCCCGAGCTCCCTGCCTGCAGCACGTGTGTTCCCAGCAGCAGCACAGTCCAGGCCTGGGCAGCTCTTACCGTCTGGAAGACTTATGCTTGCTGCTCTCGTCCTTGTCGCGGTGCCGGCGCTCCCGGTGCCGGTCCTCCCGCTCCCTGCTGCGGTCTCGGCTCCGGCGGTAGTCGCGCTCGAAGTCGTAGCTGCGCTCCCGGCTGTAGTAGCGGTACCGCTCGTCGTCGCTTCGGAAGAGAAGGGAGAAGTGAGGCAGAGAACACCCCCCTGGTGCAGCCGAGTCAGGAGCCACATCCACAGCGCAGCAGAGCCCCCTCCTCACCAGCACTTTGTCCCTACTTACTGGGCTTGGCTCCCGACCGCTTACTCCTGTCACCTCTTACTCCATCAACAGGCTGAGGGTGTTCGAGATGCTCCTGAAACCTGTGACAATGAGCTGCTGCTACTCACTGAACCCAAGCTGCAACCCAAGCCCTACTCCTAACCACAGTGAAGTAACGTTCTCCATCTGCCTATGACACAGCTCATAAGCCCCAACATTTACTATCATGGCTTTGTCCTGGCCTCTCAAGGCAAAGGGTTTACAGGCATGTTGGCCAATGCCTCTTGGCCTCTGCCCTCACAATCCTCCTGGAATACAGCCGAGCCATCCAGCTACCTTGTTCCAAACCAACAGCCACATGCTCCTCTTGCCATCCTGCCTGCCCTGGTGCTGGATTTGACCTCCCAACACTGCTGTCCCAGATAACCCGTGTGAGTTAGACTAAGGGACTGTCTTCTTCCCCACGAGTTCAAAAACTCAAATTGTGAGTACAGGTGACATGGTTCTTCTGCCTGTATCTGCTCAAGGCACCTCACTCATTCAATCCCTGTACACAAGGGGCATGAGGTACCCCCAATTCAGGTACATCCCTCACTCCATCTGAGTCCCATTTCAGCTTCTGAAAGCCAAAATCTAAAGGGTTAAGCCCCACTGCAGGAAACAATATTCAGACTCTGAGAGAAAGGAAGTCTGAAACATTGCCCTGAAACAAGCTAGACAAAGGAATGTCCAGTATCATCACCCAGGAGTGCTCCAAAGGTCTCTGCAGAGGACGGCTGCTTGCCCTGCCCTGGCAGGCTTGAGCTGAGAGGTCAGTGTGCTGGAAACCACCCAGCAATGCTAACAATGTGCTCAGGGGTGCTCATCACAGGGGGAGCCTGCACAGGAAGCGTGGGACTGAGCAATTCAGACTGCAGCAGGTTTGTCTTCTGCTCTGGTCTGTTCCTCCCCTTTCCACACACAGCCCGCAAGCTTGTAAGTTAAAAAGGGGGTTTAGGTACAGGTTGTCCTATTTGCTCAGCCCCTGGGCTGGGAAGCTCCAGGCAGGCAGCAGCCCTCTGCTAGGAATGCACATTCTGATCATGTTTTGAATGACTACAGGTATTTCTGAGCCTGAGCCTGACACTGCCTGTGACAGAACAGGGATGTGATGGCTTTAGAAAAGCATCTTTGCAGGGTAACCTTCACTTTAGCTTCTCCAGATCAGCGCTGGGAGGCTGAAAGCCACCAGGGTGGCTGTGTCCAGTACTGCTCACAGAAAGGCCTGGGTAAGGATTTAGGCTGCACTACTGGGAGATGGCACTCCTTGCCCTGAAAGCCTCTCTAGGAGAGCCCAGCAAAGCAGGGGTGCCTTGGCCTTTCATTGACAGGTACATTTAGAAGACAAGCAGCAGCAGTTTCTGTGGCCAATGCTTCACAGTGAGCTGTGAAATACCCAGTGCACAGAGAAGGGCTATTTCATGTACTGGCCTCACATTACAGGTGGGGGAGCAAGTGTAACTGGTTCTGCTGGATTTAAACAAAACCAGACACAGGAAATCAGCCAAAGGACACTGGCTCCCAGTCTGTCCTGTGCTGACTGATCCAACGTATCTCTCCCCAGCTTAAACTGGTACAGCTGTAACCCCATCCCTTGACCAAGCACCTTCTTGTGCTCCAGGCCGAGGCCGGAGCTCCCTGCTGGGAGCTGTGAGGAGAAGCTGCTGGCTCACAGCACTCACTTGTTGTATTCACTCGTGGTCGGCGTGCGGTCTCGGTCTCTCTCCCGTTCCCGTTCCCTTTCCCGCTCCCGCTCCCTCTCGCGCCTCGAGCCTGAGTATTCCCAATGGCTGCTGCTGGAACTGCTTGTGCCCTTGTCCACCGTTGTCACCCAGGGAGTGTGGGATGTGGAGATGGGTGGGTAGCTGATGAAACCTGAATCTGCAGCGAGAGAGCAGAGTCCTTATTCATCTGAAGCATTAAAAGCATCCTCCCTGTCCCTCCCTTTCCAGAGACACCCTCTGGAGATAGAGCTGAATCCAAGGAGACAACAATCACCCAGCTCCCTCCTGTCCTCACTCCCCCGTTTTACTTCCAGCAGTTTGCTCAGGACACGTGAACACCCATTCCCTGAGGAAGACACAAGCAAGACCTGCAAAACCTCCCCAGCCCCTTACCCTGCACATTCCTGGAAGGGCTTTCCCCCAGCTCTTGCCCTCTAGGTCCTGCTAGAGAGGACACACTAGAAGGTCTCCCTGAAGAAGAGCTTTAATCCATCCTTCCCAGACATCCTGGCTTAGCAGGCAGAGGTGCCTCTCCCGCTGCTGAGCCAGCTAATTCAGTCACCCTTGGCTCTTGGCCACCTCTACAAGGTCTCACTTCTCACCAGGCACCTTCTCACCTAAGGGGGCACCTGGGGAGGGCTGGGACACCATCTGCTAATGAAGGATGAAGCCGGATGAGCCCAGAGCCACCAGCACTTGTGTGAAGGAGCCAGCCTGGTGCTGCCTGTGACTCTGCTCAGCACCGTGAGGAGGTGCTGCTCCAAGCAGTGGTCACTAAGGAAGTGGGAGAGAGCAGGGGCATTCCAGGCAGGGCTGCAGCAGGGGAGGAAATCGGCTGGAATTCTGGCACTGCCTCTTTCATGACAAAAGGTGACAGACGCCTGCCTGTGCCGCAGGGAAGGAAGAGGATACAGAGGGGGAGGAGAGCATTCAAAGCTCAGGAAGGAGATGCAAGGCTGTGCTTGTGGGGAGGGAAGAGGCAGGGTCAGTGTGAGCAAGTACCTGTGCAAGCAGAGCCCATTGCTGAGGCACATGGGGAAGCTCCTCTGTTTTACCTGCAGTGAGGAGCGATCTGAGGCTCAGCACTGGACCACAGAACTGCATTCACCACTGCTGCAGAACATGCAGCCTTCCAAACAGTGCTGTAGTCACACTCAGGGTGTGTTTCTAAGTGAGTGGGATAGTTCGGGGCACAAGCAAGACCCTAAAGTTAAAGCATCCACAATGTCCACCAGCTTAAGAAAAGCCTGAACTACCAAACACCACAGAAGAGAGGTGTTTTTAGTGCTCACCTGCAGAGTTGTAGCCGAATGGAGGTGGCTGCCTGTTGTTGTAGCTGGCTGGCTGGCTTTGGAGAGAGAAAAGGATGTGAGTTACACCAGTGACCCATGGCAGGCACATCTGTGCTGCAAGTTTACCCCATGTTTTCCTCAAGGTCTGTGGGCCATCCTCATGGGAAACCCACGGAGTCACTTTGCACTGCGACCACTGGAAATGCAGAGGTGCAGCTGCTTTGCCACAGCTTCTAACTCAATTGCTTGCCCTGCTTTTCCCATCCCTTGTCAACCAGGCAGCTTCCTGGGAAACGAGAGTGCTGGGGAATCTTTAGAGAAAAGAACATGCTACCAACTACTCTGCACGAGACCTAAGCTCACACCTACATTTCACTGACTCCCTCCTGTGTCATGAGCATGATACATGAAGGAGAACACACAGAGAATTCCCTATGGACTCAGCTCTCATCCCTCCCCAATCCAAGACTCAACTGAGAATTCCCACCCTGATTTTAGACCTGTCCTTCTCCCTCCCTCCCTGCAGAGGAGCTGTGCCCATGGCTCAGCCCAGGTGTGGCCTTACCCATCCAAGGTTGGGATGAGGAGAGCTGGTGGTGGTGCCAGAGGAGGCGGGAACAACCCTAGACACAGAAGCATAAATCATCACCGATCTCCCGGCTTGCCATGAGGAACAAGATTTCATTGCTGCTTACAGTTAAAAGCAGTTAAAGCATCTTTTTACTCTCAACAAGGCTGTTTGAAGTGAAGTAATTTTCCTTCAGGGTTGTGTCTCCTCCCAGAATTAAACCCCTACAGCTGTGGTGGGTCTGCGGGGGTATGCAGAGAAACATAAAGGAAGAGCTACCCTCTGTTTTAGCTTGTTCATCTTAAGCATAAGATTCATTAAAGGAGTAGAGATTAACCCTGACACTCCTGTGGAAGACAGAGACTTCTGGTTCTTGGGATGGAGACACCCTGCGACTCCAGCACAGGTTTTATTGCTCCATTGATTACAGTGAATAGCTTTGTCCCTCGCACAGCACACAACACAGAATTCACCTGGGCTGGGCTGGTTTTAAAGCAAGCCAATTTTCTGAACACATCCACATTTAGAGATGCTGAGAAGACACAGCCCCAGCGATGCAGAGCTGTCTGCAAGGCCTGATGCTTTAAAAATGGGCCCAGTGTCACACGTGAGGAGCTGTTACACAAAAATCACATGGCAGCATCTTCAGGAAGGCACAATTAAGCAGAAGTTTATGAAAGCCACTTCCAGAAGTGACTTAAACCTTGGAAGCCAAAGCCCTCAACCTTGGCCGGCCTGAAAGTGAGAAGGAACTGCTGACTGCTCCTCAGGGAACTTCTTAAACTTGTATCTGTCACTATAAGCAACCATCATTTCTCTAGGCAGCTACCAATGCCAGCAAGAACAGACCGACCACCCAGTGGCCTGGCTTTGCATTAAGATTCCTCTGTTTATTATTAAAGAGGAAAAGAAGAGGAAATTGTACTGATGCAAAAGACAGGATCTGTTTATTAACTGCAGTCACTGAAACCAGAAGCTCCAGGTTCTTTTTCAAGTCAATGGAGATGGAGTCAGCACTGTCAATGAAACCATGGGACAATTCATCACCTCTTCCTGTGAACACTAAAGTGGGGCAGGAGAGCCCCTTCCTACAAGTGCCTCACTGCCAAAAGAGGTGGCCTGAGGTCTCCAGCTCAGCTACTGCTGCAAACAAGCTGGGGACATGTCTCACTCTTAGATGCTTTATTTTTTCCCCTCCTTTTCCCAAGATCTTCCGATAAAATGCAGTGCCTGGAGCATTTCCATCCCATCTGCTCACCAAGCACAAGCACTTCAAAGAGCTGCTGTTAGAACACCTAATTCTAATGGAGGTGGATCATCCTCATTACCATAATTAGCAGGTATCACCTCCCTTTCCAAGCCCTCACCTCAAGTGGAAGTTCCCTGCCACAGCCTGGTCATTCTGTCCACCTCACCCCTCCCAGCCAGCTTTCATCTAAATGCACTTGACTAGCAACATCTAGACTGGTTTGCATCCAGTTTCAGTACAATGTAGTTCCTCTAAATCCAAGCTTACTATGAGCAGGTTCCTTCTAGTACAACAGCGAAAACCAGCTCTGCAATGCTAAATACACGTAAGAGAAGTCTGGAAAGTGATGTTTTAACAAAGGAATTTTCTGAGGGACAGCCCAGCCAGTGGAGGTTTTCCATATTTCCATTTGGGAAGCCCAGGGCAGAGCATGAATACAAAACCAGGGACACAGGAGCTGTGAATCAAGTCCAACATGCCCAACACACAGTGAGGACAAGCACAGCAGCTCCGAAGTGCTTTGGGTGCAGACCTTTTGAAAATACATGAACCGAACGTAAGAGGAGTCTGGAAAGTGATGTTTTAACAAACAGGAATTTTCTGAGGGACAGCCCAGCCAGTGGAGGTTTTCCATATTTCCATTTGGGAAGCCCAGGGCAGAGCATGAATACAAAACCAGGGACACAGGAGCTGTGAATCAAGTCCAACATGCCCAACACACAGTGAGGACAAGCACAGCAGCTCCGAAGTGCTTTGGGTGCAGACCTTTTGAAAATACATGAACCGAGTAAGAGGGGAGGTTGAGATGAGCTCTGAGGCAGAATCTCTTCCCTGTGAGGGTGCTGAGGCGCTGGCACAGGGTGCCCAGAGAAGCTGTGGCTGCCCCATCCCTGGCAGTGTTCAAGGCCAGGTTGGACACAGGGGCTTGGAGCAACCTGCTCTAGTGGAATGTGTCCCTGCCCGTGGCAGGGGTTGGAGATGGAGGAGCTTTAAAGTCCCTTCCCAAACCATTCTATGGTTCTGTAAGTATAACACGGAGGCAGAGGCCTGACACCACATATACGTCACTATCAGCCTTGGATTTTCAGATCTGTGACATCTGGTCAGAACCATAGCTCCAATGGTCTGTTACACAAACAGCTAAATTTGCTTTCCCTGGATTAGGCAAAACTTCCAGTAGGAAAAAATCACAGCCAGAGCAGCTCTGCATTAGTGGGGACCTTAACTTATGCACAAGACTGGCTGTTACAGTTATTAGTATTCACCATCTCTACTGCACACCAGGGAGCAAAGGCTTTGATGGAAATAGCATTTGTTCTGCTCAGTCTCACACTCCAAATTCCTACACAAAAGCCCCAATTTGTCACTCAAACTTTTGCTGTGCAATTGTCATAACAAGAACTAAACCGTTTCAGATCTCAGTGAGTGCCTTCAGTGCCATCTGAAGGTCTCCATTTCACTTTCTAGATTGGTCTTCAGAGACACACTGAGCAAGTGTTAAGAAGTCCTACAGATCATTGTTTAGTTGCAGAATAGAAGATAAGCAGCTCGAGTTCAATTCTGCACTGGAGTTTATTAGCCTTAAACTAACTGTGCTCTAAAATGGGTCTTGGTGTCATCCTAGCTGGTGTTTCTTAATCCAAATGCTCAGATAGAGCCATCTGGGTGCTCAACATCACTGCTGTAATCAAGAGCAAATCAGCACTTACCTGGAATAGGACCGGGTGGTGGCAGACCTATGGAAATAAAGAAGCAGAAGCAGTGAGGACAGCAGGTAAAACAAATCACCTCTGGCCCTCAAACCAGACTTAAAAGCACTCTTTGGAGTAAATTTCTCACATCTGAGCAAAGAAACCAGCAGAAAAATTGGTGCTGTTAAGCAGTAATTACCCATTAGCTGCCATTTGTAAAGTATTTAAGGGCAAATGTTAGATAGGCTGATGGAGACACTGAACAAAGACTGTTACTTGACTGCTCAACTGTCCCACAGCGATTAACAATTAACCCTTTGCCCTACGCCTGGGATGTCCAGACTCACAGCCTCAGACTGTTACATGCTGCTGTGTGAACACATACCTGGAGGATGCAGGGGAGGTGGAACAGAAGTAACTGGTGGAGGAGGGTGGAGGAAGTGTGGTGGAGGTGGCCCAGCCAGCGGAGGAGGCGGTGGGCCTGCTGGTGGTGCGAACGGCTGCTGCTGAGGTGGCTGCTGGGGCTGTGATGGCTGCTGGGGCTGCTGGGGGGGTTGTGGCTTGCTCCCGTGGTCTCCAAGCACCTGAGAAGGCAGAGGAGTGAGAAGAGAATGTTTAGTCTCCTTGCTCCTAGTTAGGCCCTTGCTGTGCTGGCATAAAGGGAGCAGACTGCAGCACTGGGATACCTGGGAAGACCGGTCTGTGCTATACCCAGCAGGTAACATCTCTGGGCAGGAAGAAAGGTTGACCAAGGCAATCAACATGCTTAGCAAGGGATCTTCTGCACAGAACAGCAAAGACTAGAGTCTAGCTGAATACACAACTATGCAAGACAGCTGACAGGTAGGAACACCTTTTATTCACAGAACTGCCATATTTTGAGGGGTTTATCCCAACTTGTTTCTCCTGAGGGCAGCAAGAACCATAGAACGGTTTCTATGGGGTAAGCCATATGGTTTTCTTGGGGTAAGCCAAATTCTGCTCCACATTGTGCCCATGTAGGTCAATGGAAGACTGGATTCACATCTGTCTGACAAAAGGTCACATAAGGAATGACCAATACAGAGAGATACCAGAATGACCTGGAAATAACAGGTATCTGTGCTTCTAAGTGGGAGGAACAACAGTTTCCCAGCAAATTCTCTCTTAGGCAAACTCGTTTTAGAGCCATTGTTGGCAAAATTCAGAGAACTGACTACTGAAAAAATAAAGAGACCACAAACCCACTGTAAAAACAAAACCAGGAATCGTGTCTAGACAGGGAAGAAGTTCCATATGTGGGGGTTTGGTGAGTTAGGAGTGGCTGGTAGGAGGAGGGTGGTTTAGAGTTCTCAATAGATGGTCATCAAATCATACCCATAGCATCTTCCTACCTAGAAGCCAACCAGAATATTCTGGTCATACACTGGACGTGCAAGATCAGAACTGAGCCCAGTTTAAACCCCAGGCTTTTGTTTCTTATGAGGGGCAAGATCCAGTAACACAGGCCCACCCTAAGTCTGAAGCATGGGCTGCATCTAATGATGCTTAGACTAAATGTTACTTCAAAGTCAAAAGCAACACAAGCCCCGAGCAGAAGCTATCCATTGCAGAACTGGAGATTCCAACCCAACAGTGGAAGGAAATAATCCATATAAGCACCTCCAGCTATGCATCCCAAGGAGTAATTTGGGAGAGGTGATGAGAACAGGAACTCTGGCAAATGAGTCTTTAAAGGACAATCCCCAGCTCCTAACAAGATTAAGCTTTTAACACAGAAGTTAATTGAACCTGTAGAAGGATCGATACACACATATGCCTTGACAGGGTTCGGGTTCATATACTACCTCCTGCTTTGCAGATGGGAACTGCAACAAGGGAGGTCAGGAACACACAGACACTTGCTCAGTGTTCACCAGAAGTGCAACAAAGCCAAGACATTTACCTGGATTGGGTTTTCCTCAGAGGCATGTTTATCACGGCGCCTTCCTTCTACTCTCCTGATCGTGCCAGCCTGGCCACCGATCACATCAATCGTCCCACCCAGCTTCCTGGTACAAAGCAGATGCATCTTTTTAGGCTCAGAAACATTAGCAGGAGCAGTTTTCCCCACTATTAGACAGACTTCTCTCCTACATGCTTTTCCACCAGGGAAAAGTCTCCAGAAGCAGCACTCAAATTGGACAAGAGGGGAATGAGACGTCCTTGTTCACTCTCAGGGGAAGAACATTCTGTAGGAGCTCGTTGGAAGGTCATCACAAGTAAAGGTTTGTGAGAGAGAGGAGCACCTGCAACTTAAGTTTAAATATCCTTCATCCTGTATTTATGCAACAACTGATTTGTGCAAGTATGGCCATAAGACATTTTCCTGCAGTCAGGATAGAAAAATATCCAAGTCAGACAACAGAATTTTCTGTATCGGTAAGAAATCTATTCAAAGGGAATATAAAATGCTGGCTGGTTGGAGAGGGAAAGTTCTCTCACTGGAATCTGCTCACTTCGAGGGAAAAAAAACCCAAACCCAAACAACTCCTTGCTAAGCCCATGGTTCTGATTCTGCTGTGGTTTACAAAGATACCCAACCTGGTCCTGCCCGAAAACTGCTGCACAAGCAAATCCTGTGTGTCAGCACTTTCAAAACCAGACTGCAAGTGAAAATGACAAAAAGAAGCTGTATAGTTACAACAGCAACAGCTTGTTCTGCAGTGGTCTGAGTTTTCCAAAACCTCATGGTATACATGTAACAGCTACAAAGAAACCTGACTGATTTGATGGCACTGCGAAGGGGGACAGAAATGCCACCAAAGTGCTTAAATGCAAACAGACTAAGTAGAGCTTTAAAGCTTATAGCTGAAGCATATACTTAGTTCTCAGACAAACTGGGAAGCTGGAATACAAAATCATTTCTACCAGACAGGTGTGCAAAAGATGTAATGTGAATAAAGCAACAGCAACACCCAGATCCCAAAGCTCTGCCTCTTCTGGTTTCACACAGCTTTGTTGTTCTGAAGCCTTTGATAAAACCCTAACCAACCCCATCAGGTCAAAGTGGTTTCCCAGCAGAGGCTGCCAGTCAAGTGACTCAATTGTTTTGCTTTGTCCAGCCTTGTGGATCCTCTCTCTCATTGGAGAACATAACTCATCAGCATGCACCAAGCAGCACAGCACACAGGTTAGAAACCAATAGCTCCTCTTAGCAGCTGCCAAACACGTAATCCACTTCCACTTAAGGAGGCAAAGATTAGCATCGTGGGAGTAAGAATAAGCCAAGTAAGCACAAGCAGCAGCAATGTAAGCCCTCAAAGCTGAGGGATTTCCCTTGGTTTTTTGACTCCCAGAGATGTCCCTTCAGCTGAGAAACAGGTTTGCCCCCCTGGGCATCACCATACTGAGTATATCACCAAAGAGAAGGAAATGGGTAGGCAGGAGTTGTACAACTCTCAGGAGAGCACTGCTCAAGACCATAGTTAATGAGTGACCACAGTAGCTTCCTGCAGAGTTTAAAAGGTTATTTCAGGCTTGAAGAGATTGAAATATGACCCAGGTAGATCCCAGCTACCCCCGTGAAGAACAGTGCACCCAGGCTTTAGGTCTGCACCATCTCTTACCTATTAGGAGGAGGCCCAGCCTTCATGCGTCCTCCCACCAGAGCTAAGAAGTCTGTTTTGAATTCTGTTTTGATGATGTTGTTTTCCACTTCTTTTTCAGCGTTTCCTGTTCTTCCTTGCTGAACCTGTGGAAGGCAAAAGGTAACACAGGTTTAATGCCCTTACTTTCAACCAAATGCAGTATCAGAGACTAACCCTCGGTGAAGGAAAAGGGCTCCCCTGAGGAGCAATCACAGGGCTCTTGCCAGCAAGCAACCCATTCTGCAGTCATGGTGGCAGATACTGCTATAACCTGGCTGGCTACTCTAGCCTCAGCCTGCTGTCCACTGTCTCCCATTATAAGTCCAAAAGTTTAATAAGCTCACAGCCTTTTCCATGTAGTCCTTAACTCAAACCTGGAAACAGTAATAACTTGCAGTAATGATTCCTTGCTGAAGTCCTGATTAACAGCTGTTGGCCACCTGATGGCCTTCTGCAAAGGCTGATGGCCAAAGCAGTCCCCAAACACAAAAGGCAGCCACACAACTGGAACAAGCAGAACAGCCACGGATGCCCAGCTTCCCTCTCTATACTTCTCACATCCAAATGTGTCTTCCAACCAGACACCCCTATAGCAGGATAGCCTCAAACCCAACTGGAAATTCACTCAAGTCTTGCTCCTGCAGTGCTTCAAACCTGCCAGGCAGATGGAACTGCTTGTTCCATAGAAATAGAGTTTTAGCAGAGAGATTTCAACTTTAAAGATACATTTTTGTATTTCTCATCAACGAAAAGGAACACAGCACAGTTAAGTATGAAGGTATTTGCTGCTCTTATACTCTCATCTCTGTGATTACAGTAAAAAGCCCCAGTTTTATTGTAGCCATACGCAGGAGTAACAAGTCACCTACCGTGATCTTGTTTTCAGTGCTGATGGGAGGAGCAGGATCCAGTCCAAGCTGAAGCCGTCGCTGCTTTTCACAATAAGCTTTCCATGTTTCTTCATTGAATCCATAATTAAAGTAATCGGAAAGATCAGCACCTGGCAAAGGGAGCAGAACACAGGGGTTCCAGCAGAGCTGTGTTCCCAAATTGTCCTTTAACTGCTTAAATGAAGTGTTAAGAAAACAAGTTTTAGAGCAGAGCTTCCTCTCCATTTCAGCCTGTCAGAAAGCCTCTGTGTGCCTCAGTGGGGACGGCTGCATCTGTCAGTGGGAGGGGAAACACAGCCTGGACAGCAGCAGGACCATTTGGGACACAGAACACAGCACCTCTGCAGGCTGTTGAGGAAGAGGCTTGTGACCACTTATCCACCAACTGGATTTTTTCAGACTGGTTTCTTGCAATTGTCCAAACAGTTGAGTGCTGGGGAGAGCACAGAATGATGGTTCCAGCTACTGCCACCAAAATGGGATGGTGCCACAGACCCCTTTCTCTTGGTAGAACTAAGCCAACACATTCTGCTCCTGACTGAGATGCTGGACTTGCCCATGTCATGACACAGGGCTGAACTGGACATTTTTTATGGATACATCTCAGACTACACAAGTAATTATAATGCAGTCAGGATCCTACCTACAGCCTTCCAAGACTGTTATCTTACTCCTTCTAAGATTGTTGTCTTTCCTTGACAGTCCTCTGTGAAATGTGCCAATTCAGCATGAGCACTTTTGAGTAAGAGAGGTGGCCACAAACTGCTTGCCAGGAAAACATTAATGCAGAGGAACAAATATAGCTGCAGCTCCCTCTGTAAGGCACACTTTACAACGGGAAGCATTACAAAGCACCTCCTAACCCTGCTGAGGTGTCCCTCACACATCACCCTTGCAGAAGTATTCCCAGACACACCAATCCTAAAGCAAGGAGCTGACAGGTAAGGGTGAAGCAAACACTCTGCCCATGCTGAGCTTGGATCTATGCAGTGAGGTTTCAGTTTGTGTTCTAGGCAGGCCACTCTTCCTGTTGTACCACCTAAATATGCAAACTGCACCAACACAGACTCAGCAACGTGACATTTACGTATCTGTTTTATCAGCCTATATTTCAGCCCTGTATCAGTCCTTCCACACTCTTCTTCCTCTCCTCACTTTAAAGAGATACCAACTTACTGTACAGTTAACTGTGAAGGATATAAACCTGAAATGCTGTTGAGTAACAAGCTACTTGCCATCTAAAGTAAACCTACAGGCCACACACCTCTGCAGACATCTTCCCTCCATTTGGACTTACACTGTTTTAAGGCTAGCTGCCTTCAGTTTGGTCCAGGGATGTCAGCATGACCACAATGATTTCCATGCTTCATCTCTGAAGTTCCTTTCATTGTCTTCCCTCTAACTTAACTTTCTTCCTAGCCCCCTCTTTCTTACTTTACTTTTCATGGGAAATCCCCTGCAGAAGAAAGGCTACAGCTCCTATTACATCTGTAGTAGCTACTATTCACCACGGAGTGCTTCAGTGCTGGTCTGATACCACGATAAGCCAATGCAGTTATTAGCACCGTTTCATACTCTGACACCCTTCATTTCAGGTAGTCAAGAGATACCAAACCCACACCACAGACAGCCTTATAAAGGCACTACTTAGTTAGCACAGCAATGTTTCTGAATGACAAATAAAGTACAGGGGCTGGTTAGAAGAATTATTTCTGCAAAGGGGCAAGCAGAATTTTACTTCAGCTAACATTTTATCATAGCACGTTTTAGGAGAGGAACACAGCAAAAATCTGGATCTCTTTGGTTCCCTCATTTACTTTAGTACCCAATGCAGATGTAAAACAGAAGTTTACTTGTAGCACCCTACAGCTGTCATGCAAGAGTCACTTCTGAGCAGAAATCTCCCTAGTACCAATCAGGAAGACAAAAGAGACCATGTACATATTAAAACCTGCTGTGCAAAGTACTATTTGTCTGGGCAGTTTAGATAATACTGTCCAGAAGAAGTAAGTGGGAACTGCTCACTCTCTCCTATGCACCTGGGGGCAGAATGTGTAAAGAATTAGGCAGCAGAGCTTTTCCAAAAGAAAAATCCCAGCCTTCATGTCAGAGCAGCGTTTCCTTCCTTTATTCAACTGTCTGCAGCAGAAGCATTCAACATGGACAGTTTCCTATCGTGACATGTGCTCACTGAGCTTGGCCACGGTGAGACAGAACAAGCAAGGTGCTGCACACAAAGAGGAGACTATACATCATCAACAGCCAAATCCTGATCCTACTCAATTGACTTTCAGGCCCAACAAACATTATCCTGTTGCTATCAGTGCAATATTTGCTGGAACTAGGGAGTTAATAAAACAGAACATTATAAAAAAATAGCTGTTCCCTTTAGGGCAGTTAAATTAATAGAGCAAATAAAACCAATTTTAAGTAGAACCATGGCTGGCTTAGTCAGGAAATGTCACTGATAGTCTAGACAGGCATCAGAGGTTGAGCAATGGCCATTGCTCTGACTTCCCTGTTCCCTGGCAGCAATAAACAGACAGAAATTACATGTGAAATTCAACAGAGACAACTGAAACTGTAGAAAGTATTTACCACAAGAAACTGTGAGGCCCCACCTGGTTTCCTCCATGGTTTGTCTTCAAATGAATCTAAATCCACTTCGATAACAGGCAATCCATTTATGTTCCCTGCAGCATCTAAGTCAATACCTTTGGGCTGCAACTTGGCTTTGGAAAGAGAGAGAAACTGTTACTACTTTTAATGCAATGCCTTTAATCCACTCATTTGTTGAGCAAATTATTCCAGTCAAAAATAAAGCACTACTGCGAATTCATTGCTGGTTTCACAGCACGGAGGTAACCACAAGCAACTCTTTAATAACGATTACTTCAGTCACTTTACAAAGCAAGAGCCAGGGTGTACAGCACGTGCAGCTGAGCAGCAAGGAAATAATTCAACCCAAACTGGTCCTACAGGCAAACGCAGTGAATTATCAGAGCATGCACCAAATTCATCCCAAATTAAAAGAAATTATTCTTCTCTCCAGGCAAAATATTTATTTTTCCTTCCCAAGATTTTCCCCTAACAAAAGACTGTTTCAGGATCAGCCTTAGGTCGACCATGTACTAACTGGAGGCAGCAGAAATCTCCCAGGTACATCATCTTCAAGGGGAATTTGTTCTCATTTGCTCCATCTGCAGATAAGTCATTTGCATAAAGTAATTCATGGAAGGCAGTATATGAAGCCCGTGGAAGGACAGTCTCACATATGAGGAAGGACAGAATCCAAGTCTTCACATACAGTGTTAACTGAACTGAATGGTGGGGAAGATTTCATCTGCAGGATTACACAGAGCTGACTCTGAAGGCCAGAGTTTGTTTCTTTTAGTATCTGGCACTGCAAGTAGCTCTGTACACTGACCACTGAGTTAAAATAACCAGGCCATTTAGAATGTTTGGCACCAGTGCAACAATATAGTTCAGAAACATTCTGTCTTTCTACTACAAAAGTAGTAATAATGTGGGGTTTTTTTCAAGTTAATAGAATTCTAATCAGCTTGTTAAATCACTGTAATTAAAGTAATTAAATCATTCCAGTGCTCGCTGCACCCTCAGACTGTCCCAGAAGTGCTTATCCTTAGGAAAAGCATTTACTATTGCTAATTTAAATAAGATGCACTAATTCTAGACCCTTCCAGAGACCAAGACTTGCAGCTGCTCCAGCTGTCAGTGCCAGGTAAGTGAAGTATTGTAAGAGGTGAAGGATAAAAACAAGAGCAATACCTGAAGCAGATGCTCCATAGCCTCTACCCGTTTTTAAGTTTAGATTCATAGGAGTTCCCCTATATGGAAAAGAATCACTACATTGGTATTTGAATAAATGACTTGCTCGTTCTCATGCAAAATATATTCGAGCCCTGACAACCTTCAAAAGGTGCTTAGTTCACTTGGGTTTATTCATGCTCGTAGTAGTAAGTCTCAACATCTTAGAAGTGAGATTCATTTTCCATGTAAGTTTCTCTAAGCCTACAGACACCAGCAAACATACTTACTGATGGACCAAAGAACACAAGACAATTGTTTTGAACATGAAGGGAAAGGTTATTTCTAAGAGTTGTGGTTTCCATTCTGCCCAGGAACATATTTAGTATTTAAATGGAACTGAACAAGATGGAAATCACAGCTGCACATACATCGCAGGATGAGAAGAGAAGGGTAGAAGCAGCAGATTTCAAAAGGGATGTCTGCAAAATCTAGTGAGTTGCTAAGGGATGGAGCTCTGCTATTCAGAGCAACCCATCAGGCTGAAGCCACTGCTCCAAGAGAAGGAAATTATCCATAAAGGGGAAAAGTCAGAATATGCTGCAGAGCACATGTAAGCCATTTCCTCAAGAGGAAGGCTGCCAGCAGCAAGCAAAAGTGCTGTCCTATTATTTTTATTCAATGCAAATGAGGCAGAGTTTTAAGTCAGTGACATAATTTCCTGGTTCACAAATCCAGCCTCACCATTTCTGAACCATGAAAAATCAGACAGCTGAAAACCAGCAACTTCACAGCTTATGCAAATTCTTATCAAGGCAGATTTGAGTTCTTCAAGTTTTCACAGATGATGAGTTATAATTCTAACATCCCACCTTTGATTTTGCCCGATAAAGCACAGTCATTATTCAGTTAATTTTCCAACAGCAGACCCATGAATTATCATTCCTATTTTACAGCTGGATTCTCCAGCCAGCAGTTATAGGACAGAGCTGCCCATCAGCTTCTAACCCCATTCTGGTGTCCTAGCAGTTACTCACACATCTCCCAGGAGCCAGATCAAGCTCTCATCCCTACTTTCAATCCCAATCAACACACTAGAGCTACCTCAGATCAAACCCCAACACCAGTATCAGCAACACGTACATGTACGATGGTGCTCCCGTTTTAATATTGCCAATAGTAACCTTCACGTCATCGTCATCACTGTCACTATCACTGTCATCTTCTTCATCTTCACCACTTGGAAGAGCCTAGCAACAATGAAAGCACACAGGAGCTCATCAAAACACAACACTGATCAATTCCCTGGCAAAGTAAGCCAAATCTTACAAAGCTCTTATGAGAGAGAACCCTTAAAAGATGATTCTGATATAAAGACTTAAGTTTTTACTGCACTCTGAGGTTATACAAAGTTGTCTCTGGAGGCAAAAACCAGAGAAAGAGGCAGTGGAAGAGCAAGCCTCTCCCTATCCTTTCAGCTCAGAGCCACTAGAATGCATTTTGAAAGGTCTGAGCCTGAATCAAAACTGATTCCCAGCACTTTGGGCTTTCTATCCCAGTGTTCCCCATGTTTACTGACCCCCAAGAAGCCATACTGAATATTGAGCTGGAGGTACCATCGTGTTCTGCTTTTCTTGCCAGCCTGCAGCATCTCATCTGCCTCTTCAGTGGGCACAAGTAATACTAAGGTGAGGGTTCACTGCCCACTACACAAGGTAGGCTGAGAAGAGAAGCCTGTTGCTGTAGGTAGCATTGGGAACTATCAGTATACTCCCACAGTACAAACAAAGTATTAGGCAGTACCAGCATTTTTACATTTACATCATTCTATCCATGGGCATTAAGAAGACAAAACAAACTGTCCCTACCATTTGCAGGGGAACACTTACATGTTGTGAGATCTCTCGGTCTTCGCTGCTGACAGGCCGGTTCTCCTGAGGAGCATCTTGCAATGGATGGGAAGACTCTGTGTGTCTGGTAAACGTGACAGAGAAGAGAAAGTGGGTAAGACCAATCTAGAGGTTCACCTATAAACATTCCTAAAGCATTCATCCAGGTGACTTTCACATAATGGCTTTATTCATGTAGTGTGTTTATTCTGCTGGCAGCCAGCTCAACTATATGACAAAAAATTAACCAGCATCCTTGCTTGGCTTTGCTTTTTGTTGGAAAGAATCAGTTTAGTGCTTCCCAAGAGTGCCTGACAGCCAGCGTGGCTGCCTAGCCAAACACCACTCAGTGGCTAACACAGAAGCAGCAGCTGGAATAGCCTTCAGCTTTGGTTTGGCACAATCACAGAATGGTCTGGGTTGGAAGGGACCTTTTAAAGCTCATCTAGATCAACCTTCCACTAGACCATGTTGCTCCAAGCCCCATCCAACCTGGCCTTGGGAACATAATAAGCAAAACTTCACCTTGTCCTTAATGATGCTAATAATTGTACATATATTTAGTAAGCAGCAAGGGCATCTGTCCTGTAGAAATTAAGGAAAATGGTTTTAGTGTTCTATGAATAGTTTACATTAATGAGTAGTTACATTTCAAAGAAGACAGATAATTATCCACTCAAATCTTCTCACTCATTACAAATTAGTCCTAATGCAACAATGGTCAGGTTGAGATTTACCTCCAATTAAAGAGTTTGCATAAATGTTAACCCTGTTTATTGCATTAGCCAAGCAAGAAGGTCAAACTGGTATTCCAGAAACAAGTATGTCAAGTTACAACACTCAAACACAAAGAGAGATCATTTTTCTCTAATGTTATAGGCAAAACCTTGCAGAACTTCAAAATAATTCCAGCTTCTTCAAAGAGACCATAAGAACAGCCCAGGCCCAGGAAACCCAATTCCCCACCAGCACTTTCTGGAGATGTTGCTATTGATTTAAAACCCCATGTCACACAATAAGCGTACAAAAGATTATCTTCAAAAAGAAATGTATGTAACACCTAACAGAATCCAAGCACTGGTCAGGTTAAAGCCGTTTCAGAGGTGGCAGGAAAAGAGGCACCAAACAAGTAAGCTGAAAGATCACACTAGTGCAACTCAGAAAGCAGTTACTGAGCATAAAAAAGAACAAGCAAACAATCTGAGCAGTTACTGAAGCTCCCCTGTTAGAAAAGCCCCATATACACAGAAAGCCAACAATCAAGCCAGGGTCAAAAAGAAGGGATGAAGGCTGGGCAGCTAACCAAGGTCCCGTCGCCCCCAAGTTCCTGAGGTGGGACCTGAAGACACTCTTAAGTTATTAAAAGCAGCCAAGTTGTCTAAGGGAAAACCATCCTCTAAAATGCTTTCAAAGCTGCAGACATAGGCTGTTACACAGAAGATGTAGCACTGGAGAAAACTTCACAGGTGGCTCCAAAACCCTTTGCATTTTGTTTGCCAAATCCAAGCAACTCATAACATTGACCTCCTCAACCCCAGAGATTTTCTTTAGAATCCCAGATGACTGAATTAAGGCAGAGTGAAAAGAATTACCTTCAGCTTCAAGTCACATGAAGCAGCTGTGGGTGTGCATTAAAATGTATGAATTGGAGTTCAAATAAACATTTGCTAAGTCAAACCTGTTTGCTTCCCAGGAATGAGCAATCTGACAGGTCCACAGCCACCAGCTGCACACACAAAAATAACACAGCTATTTCATTTCCCCAGAACACCAACTTAACCCTGTACACTGCTGACATAACAGCATCCTGCCCAGGCTGCTGGCATTTAATGCATCCTTTAGGCTAAGGAATGCTAATGGATAAGGACAGATACACCAGGCAAGCCAGCAATGCATCCCTGGAGCTGCAGCCATGGACAATATAGCAAACAAAGAGTCATTTTTCTTAAAACACCCCACAGCTCTTCATTTAGAAAGATTCTCATTGTGCAACAAAGAAAGGGGGAAAAAAAAAAGGGGGGGAAGGAAAAAAAGCACTAGCAAAAGCACTGATGGTTTCCCTCCACATATCTTGCAGTTATTGAGACAGTTACTGGAAATTCAACTTTTAATCCTGCTGATAAAGTAAAATTACATTCAGATAAAAGTGACAGGGAGCAATAGATTTATGCAAGTTAGCAGTAAACTTCAATCTATCGAAGCTAAAAGTTGTTCCTTCTCACAAAGCCCATTTGCTGTTTTAGGTACCAATTTACCATGGTTTTTGTTTCAGATACTTACACCAGGAGTAGGACATTATCCATAACAACCTCAGAAATTCCAGATACTGAATTCAAAATGACCTTAAATGACAATAAACAAACTGAACTTTTGAAGGTGCTGAGCACACAGAGATCCAGTGAAGACCAAGTCTTCTGAAAGCCATGTTACATTAAAAAATGGGAAACATGATATTCCTGAAAAACTCTGCTGGTGCAAAACACACAGTTACAACTCTAAGGGAGTTCTGACCAAGGACGGACAGCACCTTCCATAGGCAGAAAGCAAAATGGATCACTGAGTTCCCAACGCTTTGATCTGAAAGTCTGACCCAAACCACATTGTTCATAGATCCCATGTGTTGATCTGGTTGTGTCAAACCTGGCCTCAAGGTTTTCCCAATGCCAGGCCAGCACAAAGGCCAAACCTCAAGGCACCGTTTTTCCCAGGGAATTAAACTGGAAACCAGATCTGATTTCAAACCAATTAGGGAGGGGAAAATCAGTTTTAAGTCAAATCCAGCTCACCTCCTAAATCCATAAATGCTTTGCCAGCCCAAGGGTGACAAAAGAAGAGGCTACTGCTTCTGGCAACAGCACTGGCCTAAAGCATTCCTGAAGCTATGCTTAAACATGGCTTGATCTTCCCTGCAGCAGGTATCATTACAATGAATAAACAGCCTCCACACTCACCCAGAAATTGGTCCATCTTCTTGCTTACCAGTGGTGTCATCTGCAAAAACAATAATGATAATAAAAAATAAAATTATTCAAGTGAAAGAAAAAAGCTAAATTTAATTGCAAATCAAAATGCATCACAGCAACAGAAGTACCTGGTAGTGCCAAGGCTCTATAGCCCCAACGTTCTCTTTTCAACAAAGTTCAACTAGAAATACAGCAGCTAAAAAACCACAACAAAACCAACAACCAAAACCTATTCCAGAAGCCAAGTCTCGCATCACTGACACACAACAGAATTCGAAATACAAATCCAAAGTCTCGGAGCAGAAGGAGTAAAAGCAAACATCACATAAGGGACATCTGGGAAGGTCTTTATATAGACATTTAACATGCCAGGGAAGAAGAAACGTCAAAGCAGTCAGCTGGAAAGTCTATGAGGGGACAAAGACGTGTAAATAAAGCCCTACGCTTCTTCCCAGACACACAAACGAGCCCGTCCCCTGGTAGCCCCGGGGCTCATCTGCATCAACCGGGCTAACAGCACCTGGGTGAGGAGGACACTGCGCTTCTAACAAAGCGCCGCATCAACCTCTTCGCACCGCGGCGTTGTTAAAAGGACAATACCCCACC